ATGGGGTTGCAAAGTTGGACATGACTGAGCGACTAACACTTACACACTTACCCCAAATGTACTAAGTGCCCCATGTTACATATGCAGATTAAAATAGAAAAACACTCATATATGCTGCAAGTCAGGCTTTTCTGGTGGCTCAGCAGTAAAGAATCCGCCCATCAATGCAGGAAAGGTGGGTTCAATCCCTGGGTCTGGAAGATTCCATGAAGGAGGAAATGGCTACCCACTCCGGTATTCTTGCCTGTAGAATTCCACGGACAGAGGAGCCTGGAGGGCTACAGACTGTAAAAATAGCACAACAATGATTTACTAATAATGAGTTGTGCTTTAATCATGGGCTACATACAGTCTATAGCCCACCAGGCTCCTGTCCACAGGATTGCAAAGGGTCGGACAAGACTTAGCGACTAAAACAGCAACAACAACATGCTGCGAGTCAGAATTTATATTTTTGGTAAATCTGAGAATTCCCTACAATCCAGTGGCTTGGACTCTATACTTTCACTGCCAAGGACCTGAGTTGAATTCCTGGCTGGGGAACTAAGATTCCACAAGGTGCGAAGTACGGCCAAAAAAAAGTATATTTTTGGTAAACCAGTATCTCCTGGTAATAACCCTAATTTAATTGATAGATCCTGGCGGGCTACAGTCCATGGGGTTCCAGAGTCAGACACAACCAAGTGACTAAACAATAACAGATATTTTTGAACTATGCTTTGTTGTTCAGTTGCTCAGTCACGTCCATCTCTTTGTGAGCCCATGGATTGCAGCACGCCAGGCTTCCATGTCCTTCACCATCTCCTGGAGCTTGCTCAAACTCCTTATGCTTAATATCTTTTTACTTTGAAGAGCTGTTCTTTTCCAGGACAGTTTCAAGCTCTTTTACTGGTAATTAATGTGAATAAAATTTACATTTGTGAGGCAAAAAAGTTATCAAAGGCTTAACATAATTCTTTCTTTTTACATTACAATTGTATATGCTTTGATTCCCCTCCCACCTTGGAGTTTGGTTGTGAATTAGATACATAACACAGAGCAGGAATTGAATAAACATCCAATAAATGAATGCACAGTGCCTTTTAAAGTAATGAATTTCAGGATATAAACAAACACGGACTTATCTCAGATTATGCTTTCAGAGTAAAGAAATAGATTGGTGCAGTATCAGCAGCTATAAAGTGAACGTGAAAGTCACTCAGTCGTCTCCGACTCTTTGTGACCCCATGGACTACACAGTCCATGGAATTCTCCAGGCCAGAATACTGGAGTGGGTAGCCTTTCCCTTCTCCAGTGGATCTTCCTGACCCAGGAATCCAACCGGGGTCTCCTGCATGGCAGGCAGATTCTTTACCAACTGAGCTATCAGGGAAGCCCTAGCAACCATAAATTACCATAAGTCCACCTTGAACAAATAAAGTGACTGATTCAGTTAAAAGAGAAACTACACCTAAGCAAGTGGGAGTAAAGGTCTTATCTTCAGAGCAGGCAGGTTTTACCGTTTCTGAGTATTTCACTTCCCAAGGCACTTTAGTCAGCTCTGATTCTCCACCGTGAAGAAATCCCACTTATACTGGAGAATAACCTCTTGTATGAAAAATCGGACCATTTGTGCACATACACATATATGCATGGGCACACGCGCTCACACACACACACACCCTGTATGTTTAATTGCTCGATACACGGTAGCCATTTTTTTTTACTCTTTTTTTTTTTCATTTATTAGTTGGAGGCTAATTATTTCACAACATTGCAGTGAGTTTTGTCATACATTGACATGAATCAGCCATGGAGTTACATGTATTCCCCATCCCGATCCCCCCTCCCACCTCCCTCTCCACCCGATTCCTCTGGGTCTTCCCAGTGCACCAGGCCTGAGCACTTGTCTCATGCATCCCACCTGGGCTGGTGATCTGTTTCACTATAGATAATATACATGCTGTTCTCTCGAAACATCCCACCCTCGCCTTCTCCCACAGAGTCCAAAAGTCTGTTCTGTACATCTGTGTCTCTTTTTCTGTTTTGCATATAGGGTTATCATTACCATCTTTCTAAATTCCATATATATGTGTTAGTATGCTGTAATGTTCGTTATCTTTCTGGCTTACTTCACTCTGTATAATGGGCTCCAGTTTCATCCATCTCATTAGAACTGATTCAAATGAATTCTTTTTAACGGCTGAGTAATATTCCATGGTGTATATGTACCACAGCTTCCTTATCCATTCGTCTGCTGGTAGCCATTTTTCTATGTTGGATAAACTAACGAATGAATCTTTTCCTCATCTGCTGGGGTAAACTGAAAGCTTTCAAGTACTCCTTGGTTTTCCTGGATGAATCATGTACCTTCTAGCACCTGGGGGCCCAGGCTGCCTGTGTGTGGAATCGGGGCTCGGCTCCTGACCTCGCAAAGGTGCATCAGGAATCTTTGCTTGAGTCAATGTCTTCATCATTTGCCCTAAAGTTGTCAGTTGCCAGTGTGTTCGTGTTTTGTACAAACCATAGTTGCACAGCGGGATGGATTTCCCGTGTGTGCGCCTGCCCCTCCCCCTGCCCCCTGCAGAGCAATGTGGAATGTTCCAGCCCTGGAAAGGCTCTCTGGTGGTTTATCTGTCAATTCCCATTCAACCCTCCTCTCCTGCCCAGAAGTGCCCTGTCTGACCTCTGTCATCTCAGTTTTGCCTGTATTTGAACTTTGTATAAAGTAATTTTTGCCCTGGATTCTTGCACCCAGCATAATGTCTGTGAGTTTCATCTTTGCTGCTGAGTGCTGTGATCAATGCTTTGTTCTCTCTAATTGTTATGTAGCCTTTCTTTTGGCTTACTTGGTCTCCAGCTGATTGCTATTTGGACTTACTAGGAATAAAGCTAAAATTAAGTTCCCTGTATGTGTCTTTAGTGTACCTCATGTCCTCCTTCTTCTTGGGCTTAGGATAGACATTTTCCAAAGTGACTGTACCAGTTTTCATTCCCACAAGCACTGTGCGTGCGTGCTAAGTCCCTGCAGTCGTGTCCAACTCTTTGTGACCCCCTGGACTTGGGATTCTTCAGGCAAGAATACTGGAGCAGGTTGCCATGCCCTCCTCCAGGGGATCTTCCTGACACAGGGATCGAACCCCTGTCTCTTAGGGCTCCTGCACTGGCAGGGGCATTCTTTACCACTAGCCACCACCTGTGTAGGAAAGTTCTAATCTTTTTAATTTTAGCCATTTTGGTGGTTATGTAGTGATATCTTGTTATTTTTAATTTGCGTTTTCCTGACTAATCGTTTTGATCATATTTTCACGTGCTTGGCTATTTGGTTAGTGCAGTGGCTATTCAGTCTTTCTATTTTCTTTTTTAATTCAGGTATCACAATATCTATTGATAGACATAAGTATATAAAATTAGAGCAAGGGCATAACTTTGTTCAGCAGACTTGATTTCAAAACTCTTACAAAAGGGACCAATTCAAATTTACCATTTGTTTTATACCCACGAAAACCACTTCAAGGACATTAAGGATCTCTCAAAACGGATCAACTTTGTGAAGTTCAATCACATGTCTTTTAAAAAGTGTAAGCGTTTGCCCAGGCTCAAAACTGTGAAAACTTGGCCCATAAAAAATCCACTGGAGAGAGAAGTATTCAGGCGATATGCTATTCTGGTGCAACCACCAATTACAGCTGAGAATTCTTCCATAACGACCTAGTGGATAATTAAACACTGCAGCTATTCAAATATGACTGAGCAAAGTGCAATCCTGTAATAGCCACAGTCCCTATTGTGTTTTCTAAGTTAAAGCATATGCAAAGATCCATGCAGTAAACAGCCTCCGCCTGAGAATTCAGGATAGAAACTTTCTTCTTATTGATTCACAGCATTTCTTTGTATGTCTGGGTATAAGCTTTTTCTTGGAAATATTAGTGTCTTCTCCTCCCGGCCTTGGCTTGCCTCTGCTATCTGCATGCTGTCTTTCAATGAACACAAGCTCTTAATTATAATAAAGTCCAATCTATCTAGCTTTTCTTTTCTGGTCGGTACATTCTCTGTCCTGTTTAAGAAATCTTCTTCCAACTCTGTTTTCTTGACTGTGGGCTTATTTTTCTGCAAACATTCTGTTTCATCTGCTCTGAATTCCCGACCTACCGGCTGCCCTGACACTGTCACACCAATATTTACCAAAGCCTCTCTTATCTGTTGCCTGATAGACCTCTCACACTTCCTGTGTCTTGGACCTGTCCGTCCAGTGTTCTTTGGTCTGCCTGTTCACAGCTCCAACACTAATGCCACCTCTTGTAGTGAACGATCATTTGTCTGATTTGGTGCCGCCCTTCTTGGAGGAAGGCCGTTGCTGCGTTGTGTCACTGTGTTCTTAAGCAGAAAATTCAACTTAGAGTCAGCATGATACGTCGAAGGGGATCAATTTCAATAGAGTCATCTTTTAATGTTAGCGTCTTGTGGAAATATGCAATCAGGAAGAATTCCCCAAATTTGTGTTTCCTGTGCTGAGCTGTACTTGGAAGACACTGGAGACAAACTGAATAAGAGGGGAAAACCTGAGACCTGTTGAGATCCGCGTGGCTGACAGAGCTGGGAGCCAGCAGGAGCTGCAGAGCTGGCGAGGGAAGGGGCTGGTGGAGGAGGGGAGGACAGCCGCGGCGGCGCTGCCAAGGGGTGCATCACCTCTGGAGTGAGTGCAGCAGGTTTGCATGTCGAGTCCCCCTCAGGATTAGGAGTATGTGCAGAAGAGTCAACACAGAGGCTTCAGACAGGGGTCTCCAGGAAGCCTGCTTCCAAGGTGGGCCCTCGACCGGCGTCTGGGAGCTTGGACCTGGGGAGGGTCCCCCCCACCCCCAGGAGTGGCAAGCGGCTCCCTGTCCTAAACTGTGTGTACAGACAGCAGCGCCAGCCCTGGGCTCCTGCTGTCCTCCTGCGAGCCTGGGGTGTGGGTGGGTGTCGGGCAGAGGGTGCTTGTGGGACCAGCCCCCCCGTAGAAACCCTGGGCGCGGACTCTCTTAGGCGTCCCTGCTGGACACCACTGCGCAGCGCCGCCTCGGCTCGCGGCTGGGGGAGTTCAGCGCGTCCTGTGCGACTCCACTGGAGAGGACGCTGGAGGCTGGTCCCGGGACTTCACCACCCACCTCCTGGCCCCGGGGCCGACCTTGCTCTGCATCCTCTCGCTGTAATAGGTCAGCTGTGATGACAGCTCTGTGCTGAGTGCCCCCCTCCCCCCAGGAATCACTGATCCTGGACGTGTTCTTGGAGACCCCCAACCAACGTCCAGGAGCACAGAGACTGTGGCCATGCTTCTGGCTCCTTTCCCGCTGCTCCCCTGAGGTCCTGCAATGAACTTACTGTTGCTTCTTAAGATGCCCCTCATTCAGTGCTGTGCTAAGCAGGGATACTGAACCAGAATAGGATTCTACCTTTTATCTAAAGCAGCATTCAGTGAAATGAAATAATTCACAAGTGTATGCACTAAGTCCCAAGTTATGTCAGAAAGTGGAGTCTCATGTTTTAAAAATGAGAGCCACTGAAGGCTGAGGTAGGAAACAGATGGCCTGATGTGGATCTTAAGGGCAGGGTGGCTGGCGGAACAGTGGCCCCAGAGACACCCACACCCTAATCTACGTTGCCTGGGAATATGTCATCTTGCAGAGCAAAGGGAACATGGTTGCTGATGGAATGAAGGTTGCTAATCAGCTGACCTTAACATGGGGAGCAGGTGCTGGACTGTGCAGATGGGATGTGTAATCACAGGGGCTTGAGTGTGGAAGATGGCACACGGGCACGGTTGTGGTGCCACCACCAAGTGCCTCCCTTGTCCTGAAGATTTCCAGGGCGGAGTCAGAACCCTGCTCTTGGTGACTTTGGTTTTCTCAGGAGCACTGACACCTCTCCTCTCAGCAAACACACTTCAGAGCTCTCCTGAACCCTCCTCCCTACACTCAGGCTTGGAAAATGTGCAGGGAAGGCAGGGACTCAAAAATGGAAACGCTGTCTCCCATCTCCCATCTCTCTCCCTCATCCTCCTGGCCAACCTCCCTGACCCACCCTAGCTCACTGGATCTCACTAATACTAGAGGCAGGAATGATTAGGTTCAACCCTAGGAAATTATCCTTTCCTTAGATCGAAAAATAGTCCAATAGACAATCTCATATCATTTAACATAATAGTAGCATCAGTACCACTACACGGATGAGGAAACTAAGGTTTAAGAAGGTCAATTCATTTGCTCAAGGCCACACGTTTAGTGGGTCAGCAAACTCAGACTTGACTCCAGATCCTGCCATTCTAAGCGCAGTGACAGGCTGCTGTCTCCGGAAGGGGCTCCTGCTGGGTGCTGGGGAGAGAGAAGGTTGGAGGAGCACAGTTTCTAGATGCCAGGAGGAGTGTCTAGACCTGCCATGGCAGCCACGGGGAAGCCAGCATAGACAGAAAGGCTTAAGCTGGGGGAGCAGAGAGTAGGATAAACAGGGATGCGTGATGGAGGGAGGAAAGCGGGTAGGTTGCCATGGAGATGAGGGTGAACTTCACCAGGACTGGGAGATGCTGGAGGTGATCTACGGTGAAGGAAGGCTTTGTTGGTCTCCTTCCTTGGCATCACCTCTAGTGCACAGCACTTGCTCAATAAATGTTCATTAAATAAGAGCAGAACTAAGCAGATAAGGTTAGTAATTGTTCAGGTGCTTAGTTGTCATGCTTAGTCAGTCATGTCTGACTCTTTGCCACCCCATGGACTGTAGCCCGCCAGGCTCTTCTGACAACGGGGGTTCTCCAGGCAAGAAGACTGAAGTGGGTTGCCATGCCCTCCTCCAGGAGATCTTTCCAACCCAGAGATCGAACCCATATCTCCCACGTTGCAGGCGAGTCTTTACCATCTGAGCCACCAGGGAAGCCCAGCAATTGTTCCTAGCAGCGAGGAATTACCACACTGAAAATACGGGGTTTTAGGAGCAGCTTTGATGCAAGCCCGTGCACTGTGAACAATTCCAGTTATGTATATAGTGACACCTACTGCCAATAATATAGGCTGGGACCCTTCCACCAACTTCTCTATATGTGTCACTCTTATCTTTTTACTTAAGTGCAGTGTTCAGCTGAAATTTGATCACACGTCATTGTGCAGTCGTTTATAGGTAAGTAAGCCTAAATAGGCTTAAGCGACACATTTATGAAAAGATGTCAGTGTAAACACACATACAGGCTGTTGTAAGAACTTCTAAGGTCCTAGGCGCTTTGAGTTCTGGACACTCATCCCACATCCTAACAAACATATTAAAATACTCCCACATTAAATAATCTTAAACAATTGAAGCTTCAAAATAGTTTTCACTGGAAATTGTTTGGCAATGGGGAACTCATTTATGATTGCTATGACTTCCTGGGAATCATGTTGTTAGGAAATTCTTACACGTGGTTTTCAAATAATAATGACATGTTTATCAACAGATAAATTATGAAGTTGACATGTTATATTTTGGGAATCTTTCTTTGAACATTGATTCACTTCAAATTTGTAGTGTATTTTTTTTTCTTGCATTTTGGGGCTAATAAAATTTCATTTTCAGTCCCAAATCTTTTCATAGGTTCTTGAAAAGTCTAATGAATAAAATAGCCCAGTAAACGCTGCTGCTTGTGGATCACTGATCAATGAGGTGCAAAAGTCAATGAAAAAGCTCATTTTCTCTATTCTAAGGGTACCCCAGGACAGAACATGGAAAAATAACTCTTTTTTTCCTTTTGTTTCCAGAACTTTCTTATTTCGGCCCCCCCGCCCGAAATTTACAATAAGTGCTAGCTGATACTAGCAGGAGAGACATGCAAGGGACCCTTCTAGACCGATCTTTTCTGGGGAAAAGAATTTATGATGAAAATTTCCCTAATTGGACATTGTAGCATTAACAGCTAGACACTGCCGCTTTTACTTCCGATGTTCAGAGGCAGTGGTTTCAGACATGCCTTCAGCTGGCTTTTTTTTTTTTTTTCTTTTTTCCTTTTCTGACACCTCCAGAGAATTGCAAGTGACTGGTTCTCTAGGATCGGATCTGTAAGTCGCTGGTTCTTTCCTCAACCACATCTCAGGTGGACGGTCATGACTATCTAGACACGTTCCGAGGGGTTTCGTCAGGATGGGGGCGATTCTCCCACGCAGCCCCAGGCTCTTCGGCCACGCTGGCTGAGATAACCCGGCCAGGGTGGGGGATCTGCGGGGCCCACTGGCCGTCTGCAGCACTTACCTCTGGACCCCAGCCACCCTAGCCTTGACCTGCGCTATCTGACCTCCACTTCGTCCTCGATCTCGCCGTTTGACACCCTCCCTCCATCCCCCCACAGACCTGACCTCCGCCATCTGACTTCCCGCCTCTGTCCTAACTGGCTTGACTTCCGCCATCTGGTACCCACCACCCGCCCTGACCTTGACCTGGGCCGTCGGACGCCCCCGTGGCCCTCGGGAATTCCTGCGGACACTCCCGGGACCCCCGGAGCGAACCCCGGAAGACGCCGGGACCACGGGCCGCCGACGCCTCCGCGCAAAGTGATTTCTCGGAAAGCCGAGCGCTTCGAAGAAGGCGGGCCCAGCGCGCCGCGCCCCGGGGGTGGCCCGTCCCGCCCTCCAGCGCCCGTTGGCCGTCGCGGCCGTCGCTCCGCGCACCGGGCCCGCCCCCTGCCTTAAATGTGCGCGGGCGCCGCGAGCTGAAGCGCATCTCCGGAGCTCCGCAGCGAACGTGGGAACTGGGCGGTAGTGGCGGCGGCCCGTGGCGCAGGTGGGCTGCGTGCTGGGGGGCCCGGGGCGCAGACAGGGTCGGCACCACTGGCTGGCTCCCGGCTGGGGGTGCGGCCCGTGGCGCAGTTGGGCTGCGTGCTGGGGGCCCGGGGCGCGGACGGGCTGGCGGGCTCCGGGCTGGGGTTGCGGACGGCGACCGGGGGGCGCGGGCGGGCGGCGGGCATGGGGGCCGGGGTTCGGGAGCGGGGCCCGGGGCACCGACGGCAGCGGGCTGCCGGGAGAGCCGCTGGAGGCGCAAGTGGGTGGTGGGCGCGGCCGGCGGCCGGGGAGGCCAGAGGTCGGGAGCGTGGCCGGCGGCGCAGGTGGATGGCGGGCGCGGGGCGCGGATGGCACCTGACGCCGAGGCCGCCCGCGTGCTCTCGCGGCCTGTTTTCTTCCGAATACAAACTGACCGTCCAGGTGCGGCTGCTTCTAGAGATTGGCCGGTGCTTTAAAATAACCTCGTTTTTCTTAAAATTTGTTTTCTGTTGGAAAAACTTTAGAATGGCGTATACAGAGAGGGGGAATATTGACCGATTATCATCAGACTTGCTCCTTTTCCCGCTCAAATCCTGCTCTTGAAACAGGGCTGGAGTTCTGACAGTGAAACTGCCCCCCGCGCCGAGCAGCCGCGCGAGTGGGGTTAGAGTGTGAAGCGGGGCGGACAGGAGTTTTTAATTCTGATTGATGACAGTTAAGACGTCTGAGTGCGGCTTTTGCTTCCATCGTATCCCAGTCGTTCCTAGCAGGAAAGTCTGCTAAGGGGTCACAGCTGAAAGAGCTCTGTGGTGTAACTTGAGCTACAGGGCAAAGGGCAGCCTCTCTAAGGTGAGGTGTGCTCCTTCCTCAGAGCGTGGATGGAAGCTAGAAACTGAATTTTCCAGAGTTTTCAGCTACCCCCACCCCCAAATTTATGAGGGATGTAATACTTTTTTTTGAAACCCAAATTAGGAGCCAGTCTTTTTGGAGACAATTCTTTTGGATTATGTCAGGTTCCCACCTGAATTGGAGGAGCTTAGGCATTTCAGTGGGTTTCCCCAGTGGCTCAGATGGTAAAGAATCTGCCTATAGTGCTGGAGACCTGGGTTCGATCCCTGGGGTGGGGGGGCGGGGAGATCCCATGGACAAGGGATGGTAAGCCACTCCAGTGTTCTTGCCTGGAGAATCCCATGGACAGAGGAGCCTGGTGGGCAACAGTCCACGGGGTCGCAAAGAGTCGGACACGACTGAGGGACTACACACGCGCACACACAGGCATTTCAGTAAGATTGGGGCTAGAAGGAGAAATGGCTTTCATGGTTCTGGTCTTCCTGGCATCCAGGGCAAAAGACTAGGCGCCCTGAGAGGTGTGGGGAAGGCAAGTGTCCTGCACCTCTACCACCTCCAGACCCTTCCTGGAGTCCATGTGGGGTGGGCCCAGGGCAGCCTCTTACCACCTCCCGCCTGGGAAGCCTGGCCCCTGGCCGATTTGCAGAGATGCAGATTAGCTTCAGATAGGACTTGGCCTGTAAAGAGAATTATTACCTAAAAATCGAGGAAGAGGGAATCATCAACATGTGACTGCACCTATAAATGTCTTCTGGCTCGGCATTTGGTGGAGTTAATTGGTTAGTGTTCAGTAAATAGTTATGGATCACACTGTAAGAGAATCATAGGCTTTGAATGCAGGGTTCTAATCTTGGGGTGGGGGTGGGCTATGTCAGTGACGATTGAGGTGAGCTGTCCATGTGCTGAGGTTCTCACTTGTAACCATGGTTTTTCGCCTCTGGGTGAGTGAAACCAGACCCTGCTGGGGGGTCTGGGCCTCAGTTTTTCCTCTTTTGAAGGAAGGGAAGCTGGATTAGATGATTTCTAGAGTATCTGATGTTCTATGACTCACTCTTCCTCTCGGTGTCATTCTCTTTACTTTCTTTTTTCTTTTTCTTCTAGATCACCACGAGTGTTTTTTAACAGGTTTGGGGGTTATGAATCCATTAGAAATCCCAATGGGAAGGTGTTGAGCCACTTTTTAGAAAAATGCCTGCACAAAAACAAAGCTTTGTGTTTTATTTCAGGAGACTCCTGGAGCATGGACTCCAGTTTATGAACTTTGTACTAAGGGGGTGAGCAAAATGCTGCCAAGCGGGACCATCTCATTTAATCGAGAGAAAGCAAGTTAACGCAGACCCCTCCTTCGCTCGTGTTTGAGCCCCTCTCAGCTTTCACCCAGCTCCGTCCTGGGGCGAGGGGAGCTGTTCCATCTCTCTTCTGGGAAAACTCTGGGGAACCTCTGCCTGGCTAGGTTATTTTCTGGGGTGCATGGTGGTGGCCTTTTGTTTCTCTCACCAGGTGTCCCTCTCAATTCTCTCCCTTTTTGCTTCCAAACACGAGGGGCTATAATCAAATTCTGGGACTTTGAGATCCATTGTCTCTGCAGATGAGGAGAGCTTCAGAGAGAGATGGCCAAGTGGCTTTCCTGAGGTCTAGTTAGAGAAGAGCCTTCACTGGGGTCTAGGGTTTTAGAATTGAAGTCTGCTTCCCATGTCGCCTGCTTCACTCCTGTAAATCTACAAGCAGGCAGCTGGAGTTACTGGATGAAAAGGTTTCAGGTGGCACTCAGGGGCCTGCACCCCCTCCTACCCGGGACCCTGTCTGCAACTGCAGAGCCACCTGTGGGTGGCTGGAGTGTCTAAAACACATGCTTCTTGCTTTACGGGCCCAAGTGGCTCTGGATGTGACCATGTTCTTAGGGACAGTATGTCTTGTCACTGCTGATTGTTTCAAACTGTTTGGCCTGAAGAGGTCACATTTTAATCGGAAAAATTGAAATGCTGGGTGTTTTTTTTTTTTTGGTGGGCGTCTGTCCAACAGCCTGGGGGATTTCCAGCCTGTTCTTGTAACTGTGGGCTGTGAGTCGGCACAGCAGGGTTGCTTTCTCTTTGTGCCATCAGGAAGCTGCCCACTTTGCAGGAATCTTCCTCTCTACCATGACTCTGGGTCCCCTGGGTGGCGAGGCCCCGGTTGGTTGTGAGTTCCAGTAAAGAAAGTTGGGACAGTAATACAAGATGTCCTATTCAGTGACATTCTTCTGAGGTCCAGGTGCTGTGTGGGATGCTGTCCACGGGTCCCCTGAGACCCCACCACAATGACGCCAGGTGCCTGAGGTTACCCTGGTGTGTCAGAGAGCACTGGTGACGATCCAGGGTCACCCAGCTGCCAGGTGGTGGGACTCAAATGGGGCCCCAGCCCCGTCCCATTCCCAGAGCAGCCGTGAAGGGCACTCTAGATGGGACAGACAGCCTTATGGACTTCTCTTTCTCCAAGAGCGCAAATGTCACATTTCTCACGCACCTTGTTCCAGCCGATCATTAATAGAATTGGCTCTCAGAGTGACGGACTGCTCATTGAGGGAGCCTGAAAAGGTGAAAGTGACTTCCCCCACCATGTGCTAAAAATGGAGTGATGAGTGATGCCCTCAGGTGCAGCTGTTTGCGTGAAACAGAGCAGGGTGAGAGCTGGGGCGAGCGCAGCCAGAGCCTTGCTTGGGCCCACATCTGGCTTCCCAGGGAGCTTCAGGTTTCCGCTGGGGTCGGAGGTCCCGGAGGCAGGCGCGTTGTCCTCTCATTGCACGTGGCCCGAGTTCCTGGATCTCTGGATTTCCCCGAGCTCACACCTGTGTTGAGATCCCCTGACTTTCCTGTTAGTGGTTCCTGGCTGTTGAGTACCTGGAGCGCTGCGAACAGCGAGCGCGTGCTTGCAAGTTTCACAGGATGTGCTTTCTTTTCCCAAGGATGTGTGACCGGAACGGCGGCCGGCGGCTGCGGCAGTGGCTGATCGAGCAGATCGACAGCGCCATGTACCCGGGGCTGATCTGGGAGAGCGACGAGAAAACCATGTTCCGGATCCCCTGGAAGCATGCTGGCAAACAGGACTACAACCAGGAAGTGGACGCCTCCATCTTCAAGGTAGAGACCCGGCCCCGGGGCCCACAGGGCTGTCGAGCAATTGGTGTCTGTCTGCTTTCCTTGAAAGTGAACCCAGTTGTTTTTTTTAAAGATACTGATTTGGCTGCATCAGGTCTTAGTTGCAGCAGGCAAGGTCTTTGATTGGGGCACACTGACTCTGGTCATCCCTGCGGACTTATTCCCTGCAGCAGGTGAGGTCCTAGTTCCGTGACCAGGGATCGAACCCATGTTCCCCGAATTGCAAGGCAGATTCTTAACCATTGGACCACAAGGGAAGTCCTGCTCCAGTTTCTTAAAACAAATGTTGATTGACCATGTTGAAATGTTGCTGAACATGTCTCAGAAAAAACACAGTAGGTGACTTCACATCTGTTGAATGGTTTAACCACTTTCAAGGTCAGTTCTCTATAGCTGGCATTTTCCTATAAGAAACCAAGGGAACTTTCTTCTGTGCTGCCATTGTCTTTGCATGGTGGTTTAGTCGCGAAAGTCGTGTCCGACTCTTGCAACCCCATGAACTGTAGCCCACCAGGCTCCTCCATCTGTGAGGTTTCCCAGGCAGGAGTGGGTTGTGGTTTCTCGTTCCAGGGGCTTCCTGACTCGGGGATTGAACCTGGGTCTCCTGAACTGCAGGCGGGTTCTTTACCGACTGAGCCACCAGGGAAACTTTTGCATGAGGATTAGCAAACTCAGAGGGAACATACTTCTTTCAGACTAAGACCTTTCCCCCGTGGTCTGCCACCTAAATTCCACTTACAGTTCTCGGAAAGGTTTAATTCTTCATTCTTTCATAGTTTCTACTTCTGTTTGGCAGTGGAGGGTCAACTTAGATGAGAGACACCATCTGTCATGACTTCCGGGGCAGGTCATGTGGGTGTCCTGAACCTGCAGCAGATGTCTAAAAGTAGCCCACTTCCCTTGAGAATCGTCTGTTCCCCTGAGCCTGGAGCGACCTGCTGGTTAGTTCCACAGTGCGTGTTGTGACGGCAGCATTAGGTTGAGCCTTCATCCTGCACCAAGCGTGGCTCTAGTGCTATTTCCCCTCACATACTCCTGTGCAGTTGGCGCTGTTCCTGTCCTTGCTCTGTGGAGGCTCCACGAGGAGGAGTGACTTGTCCAAGGCCTTCCCACTCCTAGGTGATGGAGCCAGCATTTGAATCCAGATTCCCAACCCCCGGCCATATCCGTCACCTAGATCCCGGCAGAGGAGCTGGGAGCTGGGGCTGCCCAGCTCTGTAGTCCAGCCAGGTCGTCAGGGTCACCCGTGGGCTCCTCTGAGACTCCCGAAGTGCGGGCTTCATCCTCCCCCAACCCCAGGAGGTTTGGAGCCCAGGTCAAGGTGTGCCCAGGCCTTCCTGTTTGCAAAGAGACTTATAGCTGATCTGACTCGAAATCCAGGTTACAAACTTGCTGCCATGTGTGGTTGTGGACATTTGGGGGAGTTCGGGGAGGGGAGGTTGAGTGAATGCAGAGGAGCGGGGAGGGCCAGAGCCAGACCCCCATGGGCGTGAATGATGTGAGCAAAGGCCTGTAGGACCCCAGGGTAGCCCCAGACTTTTACCAGGAGTGAGTGTCCCCAACACAACCAAAATAAGAGATCATGCCTCGGGCCCAAAGCAGAGTGCCAGTGGATCATCGTGGGCTCAGGAGGCATTTCAGTCCTTCACGGCTTCGCTTGGTGTCTGCGGGGGGCGCTGTGCATCTTAGTGGTTCTCTTCCAGGTCAGAGCTCTTTGGTGGTCTGATGCCAGTTGCTGGTCCCTCCAAGAAAAGTGGGCGCGTGTGGGCATTCTGTGTGGCCCTGTGCTTACCTTCAGGGCCCCTCGCGGTTTGGACCTCTGGCAGGTATCTTCCCTAGGGTCCCAGGTTGGGAGCCTAGGCGCCGCTCCTGCCTCCAGTCTTCTTGGTGGTGTTCTGGGTGCTTTTCTCAGAGAAGGTTTTGGCTTTGGTGTCACAGCGAACACCCTTGGGAATGGCTCCGTCTGAATTTTAATACTGCTCACTGTCCCTGGTTTAGCCAGTGTGGCAGGAGTTCTAGATCACAGCTGGCCACGAGCCAGGGCTTTGGCACCGTGGGCACCTGGGGCTGGTGCGTTGCTTGCGTGGGTCTGTCTTGTGCACCTAAGGGTGTCAGCAGCACCCTGGCCTTTCCCGGCCAGATGCCAGACAGCCAGACAGGCCCCTGATAATGCCAGGTGCCCCCAGCGGGCACACACTGGCTCCCCATGGAGAACCCCTCTATGAGCTGGCTGAGACCAGGACAAACAGGTTGAAGTGCAGGCGTGGGGGGCTGAGGGCACAGTTGCCAGCTGACCATCAGTCAGACCACCTAGGGAGGCCAGCGGGGGCGGGACCAGCGGCTGCACAGCCCGGCTTGTGGCTTGTCTCGGGGATGCAGGCCTCTGGCTTCCCCCTGCTCCCTGCATGAGCGCTGCTCCGGGGGGTAATGAAATCGAGCCCCAGATTTATACGTCTTATGCAATGTTCTTCATGGCCGTTTCAACAGTGTTGAGAAAAATGTGTAAGATTCCCAATGTTTCCGTTGATTACGCAGTCACTCAGTGTGGCAATCTGAGATGAGTCTACAATCTCAGCAGGAATGGGGGCGGGAGGGAGCCGGGTGCCCACCCAGAGTTGGGCGGCCCCCCGGAGGGTGATGGCCCAGGCTGGTGGGTGCAAGACGGTGGAGGGACCTGTCTGGCCCATCCCTGACTTGTGCTCAGTTCATCCTCCAAGGGGTGCTTCTCTGCCAGGTCCACGAGCAGAACTTGGCTGTTGGAGATGCCAACAGTGAGGCCTTGAGCAGTCCTGGGAGTTTTCTGGTTAAGTAGAGAACTTTTTTCAAACATTTATTATGAGTTAAGAGGAAAAATGAGCCTGCATTCCGGCCTTAGTCATGGGTCATAAGAAGCCACTTATACCGGAGGATCCCTCATTGTCTGCAGGTGTCGTTATGAGGTCAGCTTCGTGGTGTGGACCAGAGATAGGAGAGTGAACCATGAACACATGGTGAACACAGAGTGAACACATCAGCTCATTCTCCGCCATCCCTGACTATACTGATGAGGCCCTGGTAGCAGGTCACACTTATTTTTAAAAAAGTATTTTTGCTTCCTTTGCATAAAGTTGAGGGGGAAGATCTAGTTAACTGAGGGTAGTGGTGGTTTAGTCGCTCAGTCACGTCTGAGTCTTCGTGACCCCATGGACTGCAGCACGCCAGGCTTCCCTGTCCTTCACCATCTCCTGGAGTTTGCTCAAACTCATGTCCAGAACTGAGGGTTGTGATTCAGTAATTCTTCTGCCATTGACCAGGCTTTGTGACAGGCCTGAATAAGTTAGAACCTATGTAGTAGCAGGTATTTCAAATTCAGTATGCCTTCGAGAAAAAAAAAATCACGTTTGATTTTTAAAGCACAAGATGAGACGATGATGTTGTTCTTTTAAATTTTGTTGAAGTGTGGTTGATAGTGTTTCGTCAGTTTCTATTGCACAGCAAGGTGACTGAGTTATATGTGTATATACGCTCTTCTTCACATTCTCTCCCATTAAGGTCTGTCTTGGGATGTTGAGGAGAGGTCCCTGCGCTCTACGGTAGGACCTTGTTTATCCGTCCTGTCTGTCGTAGCTCGCATCTGCTCAGCGCAGCCTCCCAGTCACCCGCTCCGTCCCGTCCTGCTCGGCATCCACACGTTGTTCCCTGAGACAGTGTGTTAAGCTGCGGGGGCTGGTGGTGCTGGGTTTAGCGCTGTCTGCCGATGAGCACACAGCAGCACGGGGGGAGGCCTCGGCTCCGCAGACCTCAGATCACCGTTCTGTCTAGTGTCCTGAGAGGTCACCCAGCTGAGGTGGGTGACGTTTTCCAGGCAGAGAGGGCTCAGGGCAGGCTGGCATGCAGGTGCCTGATGCCAGCCTAGTGCTTGTCCTGACTGGGGGGCCCCTGCTTTGCTCTGTGGGTGCCCTGGCTTTCCTGTGGGGATGAGCGCCCATGGCAGTGCCCTGCAGGCTCTGGATACACCCCAGCTGTCCTGATACGGCCCCCAAATCCACGCTCTTCCAGCCCCATTTGTGATGTGGATTAACCAGCTCAGTGGTTCTCAAATGAGGCTGTGTGTGAGGCGTGATGTTATTTCCCTGGGGGACACGCGGCAGTGTCTGGAGACATTTGTGTGTCACAGCGGGGAGCTGGGGTGCTGCTGGCGTGGAGGAGGCCAGGGATGCTGCGGGAAGTCCCTGCAAGCCCAGGATGCCCCACCACAAAGAGTGATCCAGCCCCAGTGTCAGTAACGCCAGGTGGAGAGACTCGGATGTAACACAGTATGAATTTAAAGTTACTGTTCAGCATGTACAGAGTTTACTCTTCAATTTTCATGAAAAAAAATCAGTGCATTGTGATGCAGTTAATAAACAAAAAGGATTAGAAACCGTTTACTTTCACAGAGGGGAGTCCTATGTCTCTGAAGGAGGGAGGGACTGCTCATGCTCTCTAGTAGGATGCGGGGTGCTTGCTCCGTCTCTCCCCCTGGAGCAGGGCTGTAGACCCCACACTCAGGGCATCAGCAGGGAGACAGTGCAGGCACTGACCACCAGGGAAAAATCTAGGACTGTTTTAAATGGGGATGTGACTCAGGGGCGTTAAGGGGTTTCCGGAAGTGTGGCCTCCTCGCCGCCTAAGTCAGAATCCCCGGGACGCTGGCTAAAGGTGCAGGTTCCCAGAGGTAACGCACACAGCAAAGGAAACTGTGGAGGTGAAGGCCCTGGAATCCTCATCGGAACGAGCTTCCCTGGGGACTGGGTGTGCATTGAAGTCAGAGACACCTGCTGCTTGCTGGAGTGAAATTTCTTGGAAGTCAGAACACCTGGTTTCTAATTCCAGACCGGATCACCTTGGGAAAGCGAGCTTTCAGGATTGCATCCTCCTGAGTGGGGGCTGAGAATCCTCTCAGATCTGTCCCTTCAGGCGGGAAGGATGTCTGATTTTACCTGACGCCAAGTGTTACTTTCACCTGACAGTAGTGACCTCCCAGTCAGCGTGTCTGTATTCCAATTTTGAGATCTAAAAATGTGCCCATCCACATGTTAATTTTTTTTAAAAAAAATACTTCTCCAGTTTACATTTTGACTTAAAGTTTCCACCTTCGAATTTCTGGTCTCACTTGAGATTCTAAGGTTTGGAGAGGTCAGAAGACAGAGCTGTGAAGAAACCCACAGAGAGGGAAAACACTTCTTTGCATCTTAAAGAGTACCCTGGGGAGTGGAAGGGGAGAGAGGGGGCGGGGAGGGTTAGACCGAACGCCAAAATGCAGAACCACATTTCTGTCACAAGTAGCAGGGCACATTCAGACTTTTTGCAGATGTTCCCTTTTCAGGCTGAGTTTTAGCTTGAGGGTGATTTGAAAAAGCAGCTAAATTCTTTTTTGTTTTGAACATTCTAGTGGAACCCCAGGCAACTGCAGCTTCCTCAGTGTGCCCCTAACCTTGGGTTCCTTGGGTCCCGGAGAGGGTGTGCGGGAGGCAGAGCCACGCCGCGTGTGTGTGTGTGTGTGTGTGTGTGTGTGTGTCTTCTCACTTCTGTCAAAGCAGGTGGTGTGACTGGCGTCTCTGGGGTCTCCGAGCCCTGAAATTCCTTGGCTGAGCGTGGCTGGTGCAGGAGGACTTCCGGGGGGTGGGCAGAGCAGGTCCTGCCTGTGGTCGGTTCTGGGTGTGCCGTCCCGGGGCCAGCTGCGTGTTTCATGTGTTTCTTTTCTTCCTTCAGGCCTGGGCCGTTTTTAAAGGGAAGTTTAAGGAAGGGGACAAGGCTGAGCCAGCCACGTGGAAGACGAGGCTACGCTGCGCTTTGAACAAGAGTCCAGATTTTGAGGAAGTGACAGACCGGTCCCAGCTGGACATCTCTGAGCCATATAAAGTTTACCGCATCGTGCCCGAGGAGGAGCAGAAATGTAAGTGTCCTTTCTTTATGGGCACTCGGCCCGACAGAGGCCGCCTGGGTCTGGGATACGAGTGGCCGCCCATGGGGTCCAGCTAAACAAATAGCTCTCCCCCTTGTGTCAGCAGAGGCGGAGGTCTCTTTTCTGCTGACCTCACCCACCATCTGCCGACTGACGGGGCAGCCTCTGGTGGGTGAGGTGGGGAGATGGGGCGGCCTCTGGTGAGGGGCTCGCTGACCGTAGGACCAGGAGCACGTGCTGGGGCCTCCCTGGGGTCCAGCAACCATCCTGGATGGGAGCAAGGCTCCCCTGATGTGTGGATGAGGGATCCCTTCTGTTTCGCAGAGCTGTTTAGCAGCTCACACAGCAGGCTAGGAGAGAGGAAACTGGGCAGAGAAGGGACGGCTGATAGGGGTTGAGGGCAAGGTTCTGGAATGTATTTGCACATGGCACACTGCTGGCTTCAGGGCTGGAGACTGGATAGGCTTCTAGATGCTGGGTCCTGATGGCCGATGGGAACCGCAGGGTGTGATAATTTCTACAGTCTCCTCCGCTGTAAAGCCCAAGGAAAACAATTGTGAGGCAATTGCAGCAGAATAGCCAAAGCCAGCCTTACAACACGGCCCTGCTTCCCACGCACTGCTCCGGGCAGACATCACTGATCCATCAGGGTGTCTCTCCGGTCTGGCCTGAGTTGTTTCCACGGTGCTGTGCCCTGTGGCCGCTCCAGGTCAGAGCTGGCCCAGCGGGATGAAGCCTCATTACCATCCCGGGTTTAAAACATTCTTCTAACACCGATTTTCTTAGCCTCTGACATTGCGATTAGTCTTGGCACAGCATCCTTTTGTCCTTAGCCACTTACTTAGTCATCCAGTCATGCCAGCTGGGAAGAAGTTGAACCCTCAAACTACCTAGGGCAGGGCAGAAATTCAGAATTTCTGAAGGAGCTCTTAGCACTGTAGGGAGGTTGGAAATGTTGATGTGTAGTTTTTACAAAGTTAAAAATTTAGACTGTCACAAATACTGGGTTGATCAAAAAGTTCTTTCGGGTTTCCCCACGAGATCGTATGGAAAAGCCCAAACGAACGTTTTCACCAACCCAGTATCCGGGGAGCCTGGGTAAGAGAGGTGCTGAGCCATTTAACGAGGGTGCCCACGTGGCCAGAAGTCTTGCTGGACAGCACGCGATGCTGCAGCCCACAGTTAGTGACAGGCTGGAGGTGGAGCCGAAACTGCGTATCCTGCCGGGCCCTGGTTGGCGGTGATCTCTTCTACTGACCATTTGTAGCTTACTTGTCTGTAAATTAACATCCAGCTCTACTGAGTCTGAACCCTCATCGATAATCAGCAGTAAGTCAGACAGACTGACCTTCCCCTGGGGGATCCGCTGGCCTCCCCTCAGGGGGACACCTCTCAGCGAAGACTCTGGGAGGCTCTCTTCCCAGTTTACTTACCAGTTTGGGATCATTTTTCATCATCACAGAGTAAACTGTGACTTGAAGGAATAGGGAAGTTTCTCTAATCCCCCGCCCCCAGGGTCAGCCAGGCTCGACTGGGCAGGTGACCCTGGTGTGTTTATAGCCCAGAGTGCAGCCAGCATCACCTGCAGGGTGGATGTTACAGAAGCAGGGGCTGGGGAGCCGTGCATTTGCATAATGTCTAGGTGGGTGCGCTCTCCTCTCTACCCCAGTGGTTTGCTGGCTGCCCTAGGGGTGCCCCACCTGCCCCCTACTTCCCCCGTCAGCAGCTTCCAAGTGAATTCCCGAATCTTTCAAAATGGAATCAAAAAAGTTCAGCCCTGGTGAAACAATGGGTTGATTCTCCAGATGACTAGGACCGCCAAATTCCAGCAAACCAGTGTTTGTTGGTCATAATACGTTTCACATGGACGGGTGTAATGAGGTGAGTTTCTGGCCCAGGAAGCGGCCTGGTGATGGAGGGAGAAACTAGCCCGGTCCAGAGTGGTTGTCATGGGAACACTGGTGCGCCTGTAGAAGGTTCCTGCTGCTGGTGGTTTCCAGCCTGGGCACCCTTGAGCCTATGGTGCTCTGCGTGTGTGCACACAGATGCTCACGTGTATATTTGGAAAGGCCAAAAAGGGATTTCCTGCCCATTGACTTTAAAAAAAGACTCCAACCTGCACACACATTTGCCAGGAAATCTTTGCGTGTCTTCAGATGCCCCAGCTTTTAACTATGAGCCCTGCTGGGTGTGGAGCAAACCGGATATGAGCTCACTTTAGATCTCGGCAGACAGAAGGAAGAGACGGAAGCCCTGCCTCGGCCCTCTGGGTGCTGGGCACAGCATCGGCCAGCTGCTCTTAGAGCCTGCTGGTCAGATGACCGGAGCAGCATCGGAAGACCCATGCTCAGCCTTCCCCCAACCAGAGAAAGACACAGACTGACTTCTGTTTCTTTCAGCCTAGCCTTAGGAAACTGCTGCCTGTGGCCTTGGTGACGTCTGTGACACCTCAGTGCCGTCTATCACGTGCTTGTCCGTTTTTCCCTAGGCAAATTAGGTGTGGCGGCCCCGGGCTGTGTGAGTGAGGCCGTGGAGATGGAGTGTGGGCGCTCCGAGATCGACGAGCTGATCAAGGAGGTGAGTGGGGCGGCGTGTCCAGGGTGTCGGGGGGAGAGCGGCACCTCCTGAGTGCCCCGCTTGGGCTGTCACTCCAGCCAGGATGGGACGGGAGGGCCTGGCCTCGCCCGCTTGTCGGTGCCTGCACCTCATATTCCGTCCTTCGTCCCGAGCGCTGGGGCCCAGCTGCCTCTGTGCATCCACCGAGTCCCCCACACCCCTAACCCTGGCTCAAGACTCGTCAAGTCTTGAACACTTTCGATGGCACCATATATCACCTGGCCTTTTTTAGGCAGGCTGCAGTGGGGGAAGAAAAATAATAATAAGCTTCCCTGGCTGCTGTGGGTTGGGTTCATGACACGGATTACCCACCAGCCCTCACGCGGCTTGGTCCCTGTCGTATGAGTGCAGGTCTTAGTTCTCAAGAAGCTGCAGAGCTGTCTAACCAGTCGTCTTAGGATTGTGTGTAAGATCGCAGTTCACAGGCTGTAAGGAAAGGCTTCCCGGGGTCTCCTTAAGTAAAACACATGGGTTTTGAATACTAATTATAGCTGCCTTTAGCTCCTTAGCTCTCTTTCTATGGCCATTGCAAGGCTGACACTGCCTAGCTAAAGTAATCCCACGCAGCTTTTGTAGAAGGTGGTGTAGGTGGTCTAGCAGTTCTCAGAACCCGCAGGGCAGTGACAGAACCTTCTGGAGAAGCTTGAAGGCAGAGGAGGCAGGTAACCAAGTGCAGCCTCCTCTGGGCTGTCCTTCCTGGAGGTGACAGCCATCACATCTCTGGGGGGCGGCTGGAGTGTGGCAGACTGTCCAGCATCACTGCGGGCTCCCCCCGGAGCATCAGGGCAGCCGGGTGACTAGGCTCATGGCTGTTGCCGCAGGCAGTTCCTTGTAAAAGGCCCGTGAGCCGGTGAGGGCCCCACGGAGGCTAGTGGTTTGGTCACATGCTGTGATCGCTCAGCCTGGTGGGTTTATCGTCTTGGGTCTTCCCTTCCTCTTGTGCAATGGAGGTGATGGTGTGGGTCTAGTTAAGACTGGAAGCCCAGTGACAGCCGCGCTCTCCTCTCGCAGCCTCCCGTGGATGACTACATGGGGATGGTCAAGAGGAGCCCCTCGCCGCCTGAGGCCTGCCGGAGCCAGCTCCTCCCAGACTGGTGGATGCAGCAACCCAGTGCAGGTGAGGGCGGGAGCCCCGCACCGTGGGGCAGATGTGCCCTGACGGTCATCCGTCTTCATGCTTTGCTGCTGGGGGTGGGCGGGCAGCGGGGCAGCCATGATTCCTATTTTCCTGAAGGTGACTGCGCCCAGAGAACTGTTGTGGCTTCAGACCCCACGGGCAGAGCCTGTCCACAGCTAGGCCCCCGCTTGCCACCGTCCCCGGAAGGCACTGTGTCCTTCTGTAGGAGGTGGCGCTCCCCACTGGGCTCCTGGGGAGAGTGGACGGAGGAGCAGGGGACCACAGGGAGGTCGTGGCTCTCGGCCATGGGGGCTGTAGGTCCGTCAGGTCAGTCTCTTGCGACATTGAGGCCTCGGAGTCGGGGATGACCCAGCGTGTGAGACGGAGAGGGCACAGAGCCTGGATTTGAAGCCTGTGCCGGGGGGCTGCATGCCTTCCTTGAGCCCCCTTTTACTGGATATAAAGCAGAGACACCGGGACCCACTCCCAGGGTTGTGAGGCTGGACTGTGGCCTCTGCCCTCTCGTTAGCTCTGATGCCCCGTCCTGCTCCTTGAAGCAACCGTCCCCCCGCGGGCATGGGCCCCTCTGCCTCCTCCCTCACCTTTCCGTCCCCCGTTGTAGACCGGGAGGTGACTGCTGGCCCAGCTGCCTGAGGTGGCCAGGCTTCGGGGCCTGGTGTTGCCCTGACTCCTTGAGCTACAGCAACACGCCGGGGGGACCCTCGAGCCCCGGGCTCCCCTCCGAGATCAGGGTGGGGTGGGGGCCGCAGTGCAGCAGTGGTTTCGGAGCAGACACCCCCGGGTGGGAAGGAAGTGTGGCCCCACCGTGTCACCGGTCCGCAGTCCCACAGGACAGAGGGAGTCTCCTCCACGCCGGGTGGGTTGTGGTCCGGTTTTCTGAAACCTGGTCGCTGTGCTGGAGGGGAGAACACTCAGCACAGAGGAGGCCTATGGCAGGGCCCGGGGAGCGTGCGGGGCCCCTAGAGGAACCTGGAGGAATGCGGGGCTGCGTCTGACGCTGCTTGCTTGCTTTGCCAGGCCTGCCGCTGGTGCCGGGGTATAGCGCCTACGACGCCCACCACTCAGGTAGGGGGGCTCGGGACAGGGTGGGGGCATGGGGCGAATGGGGCTGCGCGTTCTTTGAAGACAGAGCTCTCAGGACCAGTGGGGGCCCCGAGGGTTGTGAATGAGCGCGATCTGGTGTCGGAGGTAGGGAGCCTGGCTCCTCCTCACTGTTGGGGAGTGAGCGACTGGCCTCTCAGGGCCTGTTCTTGGGTCGGACCCACAGACAGAGCCACAGAGCTCACAACAGGCGAGATCCTGCAGGAGGAAGGGTGTGGGGACTCGGTGAGCCCAGGTGGACTGAGCGAAGCGTCAGCGCCTCGGGCTCCTCCTCCGTGAAGTAGGAACAGTCATGACAGCCCCTTCAGCAGCACCTTGAGGGCTGGTGTGTTACTGCAGCTTTCTAGCCCGTCACTGGTGTACTGACACACGGTCTCCCACACTTACGATGATGACACTGGAAATGGCGGTGGTGGATGTCACCGTATGCGGTATCCAGCTGGGCGCCGGGATCCACGCTGCCCATCACTGCGCCACCTCTGGGCAGGTGCTGCTACTGCTCCCCCAGCACAGGCTTAGAGACCCCAGGTACCCTGGCCGGGCTGCGGCCCTGGGCCGTCCCGTCTGCTCCCATCCCCGTGGGCAGAGGTGGCCTGTGCTGCGTGGTTGTCTAGTTGTGCTGGGGTTGTGGACTGTGGCCTCCAGGATTCACACTCAGGCTTAGTGGTGGCATCTTCAGGGCGGAGGAAGGCGCTGTCTTCCCCAGCAGCTGCCCGGCTCTGTGAGAAGCAAGCAGCCTGGCTCCTCCAGACGGACCACGGGACGTCAGAGCTGCAGGTCTCAGGCTTCTGGTGCAGCGGAGGGAACAGGGCTTGGAGGGCAGAGTCTCGACCATGGCCCTCACCAGACGAGTGTATTTGGGGGAGTGGAGCTGGGTCTCCCCAGGCAGGAGGATAAGGGAAATGACCCCCTGTCCTCAGAGCTCATCGCCATTGCCAGCAGCCTGTGAGTTGGGGGCGGTCAGGACTCAGCGTCACAGGAGGAACCAGGCTTAGAGGTTCAGTCTTCCGCCAGGGGTCCCACAGCCGGGGAAGCGGGGTTGGGGGTTCAGACCTGGGCATCTGTGTCCACCAGAGGCCGCATCCAGGGTAGCCTGCTGATCGGTGCTTCCCGGGCGGGGGAGTCGTAGGCACAGGGCTGGGGGTCTGGGGGCGAGAAGACAGCCTGGGGAGGAAGTGCCCCGGGTGGTGCCGGAGCCGTCCAGCATGTGGGGAGACCCATGGCGATGGCCCAGCCAGGAAAGTCCGCCCCCGCTCCTGTGGAGGTGGTGGACTTCGGTCCCTCTGCTGGGTTCACACACACGCCCTGCTTGGTAAACAGGTCGTCTGGGTCCCCTGTCCTCAGCCCTGCAGGGAGGAGGCGTCGAGCAAGCCGGGCAGGGCGCAGTGGAGAGTGGGGGCCCCGTGCCGCTTGGTGGCCCTGTGGAAACAGACACAGCTGGGCTTGCTTCCCCCACGTTTTCTAGAGACGAGGTGTCTGGATTTCTGTGTGAAACCTTCCATACAAAATGTGGGCAGCACACGTGTGTTCACAGCACCCCGCTTTGCTGGTGGGTCCACACGCGCCTGTGTGCTGGCGTGCGCTATGTCCGTGCGGTCGCTGGGGTCACGGGTGACGTCTGGAGCAGACGGTGTGGCGGACGCGGGGCGGCCTGCTGGGGAGGGCTGGGGCCAGGTCCCCACCTGGCAGTTGTGTGGTCAGGGCGAGTCTATCCTGCCTGGAGGCTGGCGTGATGGCCTCGTCCTCGGGTGGGTGCGAGGACTTGGTGAGCGAGGCAGGGGCACGCATCTGGCACAGCTGAGAGCAGGTCTGTGACGGGACTCGGCTGTCAGCTCTGTGTCATCCCAGTTCATGGAACCACCGCTGACCCGGTGCTCACTCATGCCAGACACACACACAGTCTCACGGCCCTCAGCCGCCTGGCGGGGCCGTCGTCTCTGCTTTGCTGGCGGGGAGCCTGGGGCACAGAGCAGGGGACCCCCTGCCCCAACCCCTGGCTGGGCCCCCATGTCAGGAAGCCAGGTCCCAGGTCCCTGCTCCTGGCGTCTTTGCGCCGCCACCGTGGTCAGACTGTCCCCCCGCAGGGCCGTCCTCCGGGAGCAGGGCAGGGCTGTGGTGGGCTCCCTGGGGGCCATGCTGAGGCGCTTCTCCTCGGGGGCCCCTCTGCGGGGCGGGGGGGGGGTGTGCACGTCCTCGCTCAGGTCCTTCTGGGCCCGCACACCCTTCCCCCTGCCCCGGCCTCTCCGGAGCACAGATGTTCACACGGTCAGAGGCACTGGTGTGAGATAAGGTGGTGATGACAGGGCCAAGGGGCAGAGTGGTGACAGTTGATCCGGACTGTTCTGTTCACTTGGGACAAAGGTCGGCGCTGCCCTGGAGGGGAGGGGGTGTCAGGTGTGCAGACGGGGCCTGGGGGGAGGGGGATGAGGCATGGGCGTGGAGCCCCAGGGGTCAGTGTCCCCGAAAGTCAAGTAAATGAGGTGGACCAGGGCACCCGAAGACCCCAACAGTGTGTGATCCTGGACCCCGCTGAGCTCCAGCGTGGGGAAGATGGCAGCTGCAGTGGGCAGCCTCACCGTCCGAGCAGGGGTTCCTTGCACAGAGCCCAGCGCGAGGGCCCACCCGGGCCCGGCAGGTGGCTGCCCGTGGGCCCACCCCCGACGGTGGGGCAGGTGGTTGGTACTCCGCGCATGCTTGGGGGCACAGCGGAGTCAGGCCACTCGCGGCTGGTGTGGCTCCACAGGTAGCCCTCGGCGGGACTGGGCCCCAGGCCCATCGGTAGTGTGTGTGTGGTCCTTGTAGCAGATGCTGGGTGCTACTGTGTATTGTAATAATACGGGTCTTAACATGCAGGTCCCTCTGGGGAAGGGGGGTCCCTAGGATCTGATGCTCTGTTCACTCCCACTGCAGAGGTGCCCTAATCTCAGTCACTTGAGGCCCCACCTTTGCCATCTGTTTCCACATCAGGGTGTTGCCTAGGCTATCATCAATGTCTTGAGTTTTCTGTCAGTCAGTCTCACTTTTACAATTTAAACTTAAGTGGAGACCATCCATCGTTGCCTGTAAAATGGAACCAGTTCTGCTTGCTCTAAGTAGGAAGGCAGAGGCCACAGCAGATTCAGTGGAGCCCAGACCCTGCGGTGTCCGCAGCCACGGCTCACGGCCTGTCTGGTCTGAGGGAGGTGGGCAGCATCGTTGAGATCCCTCAGCACTGCACTGGGGCTTTCTTCCTGAGGTGACCAGACACTGAGAGAATGCGGAGAGTGGGGATGATCTTTTCATTTATTAAATGCTGTCTCCACTCCCCCCGCCCCAACCCACCCTGGTAATCTTACGTGTGGCACGTTTTGGGAAACATTGACTTACGTTGAGTACTTTTCAGACTTCTTCCCAAGAATAGGTTTGGATGAAAGGTTTGAGTTCTTAATTGGAAATTCAGGAAACTCCAAAGTGACTGTGAATTTGTCAGGAAACAGATTACATCTTTGCTTTCCCTAACCTAGAAATCACATCTAGCATTTCCTTACATTATGAATGTGGGCAGTACTGTGTGTGTGTGTGTGTGCGCGTGCACATACATATATACATTTATATATATATGTATATACATGTGTACACGTTATGGTCTAACATTGTGTGCTGTGTAAATCAATGGTGTAGCAGTGCCTGTGAGGTGGAGCTGTTTTCCTAAGAAATTAACATGGTTGACCCTCAGCTGTGACTTGTAAATTATAGCAGTTAAGAGACAGAAGTGGGGTGGGGGGTACCACAGTATTACTACTTTGACTCACTAGCTTCCTTGGTGATGCTCGGTATTTATTCATGCTTATAAAAACATTAGTTCTAGAAGGGGTGCGTGAACTTCCCCAGAAAGTGAAGAGGCCCCAGGTGCACCGAGGGTCACCCCTCCCATCCTCCTGGGAAGGCAGACTCGGGACATGTGGGCACAGCAGGGATGGCACCCCCCTGCCCCCCATGGCCCCTGACTGTCCCCGTCTCCCCACAGCCTTCTCCCAGATGGTCATCAGCTTCTATTACGGAGGCAAGCTGGTGGGCCAGACCACCACCACGTGCCCCGAGGGCTGCCGCCTGTCGCTGGGCCAGCCTGGCCTTCCAGGCGGGAAGCTGTATGGGCCCGAGGGCCTGGAGCTGGTGCGCTTCCCGCCGGCCGACGCCATCCCCAGCGAGCGGCAGCGGCAGGTGACGCGGAAGCTGTTCGGGCACCTGGAGCGCGGCGTCCTCCTGCATAGCAGCAGGCAGGGCGTGCTGGTCAAGCGGCTGTGCCAGGGCCGCGTGTTCTACAGCGGGAATGCTGCGCCCGCCCGCGACCGGCCCAACAAGCTGGAGCGCGACGAGGTGGTCAGGGTCTTCGACACCAGCCAGTTCTTCCGAGGTCAGTGCCCACACATCTCCCTCCTGTCTGTGTCCAGGGTGGCAGGCTGGGGTGCCCCTGCCTTTGAGCCCTGCCGGTTCTCCCCAAGCCATCCAGGCCCCTCCTTCCCGACCTCCATGTCTGGAGTGGGCGCCGCTGGGGGAGGATCGAGGCACTGAGTGCCTCGCCTGCTGCTGTGGGCTGTCCCCTCCCTGGGGAGCTGGGAGGAAGTCTCAGGCCCCGCCTCAGACCTGTGGGGTCAGAACCCACATCTTGGCAACAAGGCCCCCAGGGGCTGTGTCCACATCCTGAGACACGCTGACCTTGCACACGCAGCGTGGGAGCGCTGCCCGGGGCTGCCGCTGTCCATGAGGGGGCTGGTTAGGCTCCCACTGCGGGAGCTCCCCCTGGAAGCTCAGGCCGGATGATCACTCACTGGGGTCCTGAGGCTGCCAGCCAGTCCCCAGAGCCCGAATTTCCTCTCTGTAGCAGCAGCGGCCGCCAGGTGCCTCCTAGGGAGCTTTCTAGAGAAGGGACCTGGGAGGGTGGGCGGGTGTAGGTGCAAGAGCCCTGACTCCATCTGGCTCAGGGGGTGGGTGGCCGGGCTTCACCAAACTGCCTCGCCTCCCCCAACCCCTGCCCCATCCACAGAGCTGCAGCAGTTCTACAACAGCCAGAGCCGGCTGCCCGACAGCAGGGTGGTGCTGTGCTTCGGAGAGGAGTTTCCGGACACGACCCCGCTGCGCTCCAAGCTCATCCTCGTCCAGGTGAGCAGGGCGGGGACGGGGACTCACGTGTGAGCAGGCCTGGCTGAGACCCCAAGTGGGCAAGAGGATCCTCCTCACCTCTGAACTATCTTCTCAGATTCTAGGACTCTCAAAATCTACGTGGTTTCCACTCTTAGTTTTTAAAAACTCAAAACCACCTTTTCAGAAAGAGTCCGTAAGGTCTCGGCGACAGATCAGGGTTTCTCCAGCCCTGGTGAGCTCTAGTCAGAAGTGAACCCCATGGGTGGAATTGGGGGCCCCGGCTTGCCAGCCTGGGACACTGCCGGGAGGGTGTAGCATGCTCTCTGGGGGTCTCGGAGGTTCTGGGTGACAGCTCTGGACTGGATATGCAGAGAGGGCCCCCCCCCGCCCCCCCCGCCCCGCTTCGTCTCTGACTCGTGCGCTGATGTCCCAGGTGGAGCAGCTGTACGTCCGGCAGCTGGTAGAAGAAGCAGGGAAGGGCTGTGGCCCCGGCTCCTTGATGCAGGCCCCCGAGGAGCCCCCACCAGATCAGGTCTTCCGGATGTTTCCAGAGATCTGTGCCTCCCACCAGAGACCTTTCTTCAGAGAAAATCAACAGATCACAGTTTAAGTCTCCAGGGCACCACCGCCTGCCCACCCCCCACAGCTAGAATCTCATTATTACAGTTACTGTCGGATGTGAAGCCCCCTGGCCTGGGGTGGAGGGTTTCACCCTGCTCTTCGTTTGGTAAGGGCGTCCTGAGGACCCGACGGGGAACAGCACCGTGCCCACTTCTGTCACTCAGGTAGAAGCATCGAAACTCAACCAGATGCTCTGGATGCTGAGCTGTGCCCTGCGGTTAGGACATTCTTTCCTTCGTTTCCCTCTGATCATCGTTAGTTGCTATGACTCTTTCAGCATTTGGGGCTACCTGATGTTTCCAGAGACCTAGCGTTCAGTTTTACTAGCAGGTAGCTGTTTCCAGGAAAGAAATCCTGGAAAAGCAGAAGACGGCTTTTGTTTTTATCTTTGGTTAGAGCTAGAGAGTTAGGATTCCATGTGCTTGATTCAGTGAAGTGTCTCCTTACCTTTTAAGCATGTTGATAAGATTTAAAAACATCTGGATACCAGCCTACCTTTCAAAAGTGAAAGCAGAACTCCTGTCTCTTTAGAAGAAAGCATGTTTGTCCTAGAATTTGGTGTCAGGCGTGCATCTCCCTGCCAGGTGAGCTGGTGTTTCCATCTTCAGATGATGAAGACTTCCCTCTTGGGCCTTTGTTGCCAGGAAGCTTAGAGCTGAATTATTTTTCATTTCTGTAATTAAATCATCCAATATATGTCTCCTTCATTCTCAGTGGTTTTGACCTATTTTAAAAATATTTGTACTTTTCATATCTTTTTTAAATTAATGGTCCTATTGTAAACTGTCTTGAATCTTTTTTATATAAAGTGGGCAAGATATAAACCACAAGTTCAAAAATAACTGTGGATGGAACAGACTTTTTGATTGTGCCTTTGATTCAGTCAACCCATTTGTGGGCCAGGGGTGTGGGATGTGTGGGGGCAGCTCGGGGACTTTGGATGGGATGTATCCGCTTCTCACCACAACGCTGGTCCCTTGGCCCTAGTACTGCTTGGGATCAACAATGACCCTGCTCAGCATGGAGAGAAGGGAACCCTCCTACACTGTTGGGAGCGTACATTAGGGCAGCCACTATGGAGAACAGTGCAGAGGTTCCTTAAAACACTAAAATAGGCTTTCAATATCCTGCAATCCCACTCCTGGGCATGTATCCAAACAAAGCTCTACTTTGAAGAGATCCACGTACCCCTATAGTCATAGCAGTATTCACAACAGCCAAGACATGGAAGCAGCCTAAGTGTCCATCAACAGATACATGGATAAGAAGGTGTGATAATATATATATATATTTATATATGCACCCACAGTGGGACATTAGTCATAGAAAAGGAAGGAAATAAGGCCATTTGCAGCAACATGGATGAGCCTAGAGATTACTGCACTAAGTAAAGTTAGAGAAAGATAAATACCATATAATACCAGTTATGTGTGAAATCTAAAATATGACACAAATGAACTTGTCACCAAAGCAGAAAGAGACTCACAGACACACTGACTTGTGGTTGGCAGTGATGAGGGGGAGGGACAGAGCTTGGGGTTAGTGGACGGAAACTTTTATGCAGAATATATAAACGAGGTCCTACTGTACAACACAAGGAACTGTATTCAACAAGAATATGAAGAAATACAACTGAAGCACTGTTGTACAACAAAAATTAACAAATGGCAGTCAGCTATACTTTTTAATAAAATTAAGCAAAATTAAAAAAAAAATGTCCCATTGGCTAATTTTAAAAAATTCCCACTAGCTATCTTTTACATATGAGAATTTGCTGTTTGACACAGAAAGCTCAAATCCAGTGCTCTGTGACCACCTAGAGGGGTGGGAGGTGGGATGGAGGTTTAAGAGGGAGGGGACATATGTATATCTGGGGCTGATTCATGTTGTTAGATGGCAGAAACCAATACGACATTGTAATTATCCTCCAATTAAAAATAAACTATAAAAAAGAAAACTATACACTAGTAAAGAATAATGAAAAATTGTGGTAAAATACACAAAACTTTTTACAATAACCCCACTACACAAATTCTGCTCTTTAACACCGTATAATTCCAGTGGAGATGTCCCAGTTCTACCCTTGGGAGAACTTAACCTATTTACTAGCAAAGAACATGCCCCTACTCCCCAGAAATATGTCCGCGTGTCCACCCTCAGCTGTGATGCTCATGAGAAGCCAGGCAGAAGCCCGAGGACAGCAGCCTACTTGGCTCATGGCTTCCTCTGTGCAAGATGACACACATCTGCAACCACTTCGTCACCTTCATGATTCAAAAGTGCTCGATAACCAATGGCATTTTTCACAGAACCAGAAAAAACATTTTAAAATTTGTATGGAAACACAAAATACCCCCAAAACCCAAACCAATATTGGTTTCTGCCATCCATCAACATGAATCAGTCATAGGCACACACATGTCCCCTCCCTCCTGAACCTCCCTCCCACCTCCCAGAGAAGAATAGCCCAAGGAATCGGGCTCCCTCACTTCCGGCTGTACGATCGACACAGAGCTACAGTAATGAAATCAATATGGTCCTGGTGCAAAAAGAAGTACAGGTCAGTGGAACAGGATAGACAGTACAGAGATAGACCCCCAGGTGCTTAGGGTAACTAATCTGTGACAAAGGAGGCAAGAATATACAATGGAGAACAGGCAATCTCCAAGTAAGTGGGGCTGGGGAAAGTGGACAGCTCCATGTAAGAGAGTGAAAGTAGAGCGCACTCTAACTGTGCACAAAAACTCAAAATGGATCGAAGACCTAAGTGTGAGACCACATGCCACAAAGCGGGAGGAAAACAGGCGTAACACACTCTGATATAAATCACAGCAGTATCTGTGTTGATCCATCTCCTAGATGTATGAGAATATAAACAAGAATAAACAATTGGGACCTAATTAAAGGTTTTTGCAGAGTGAAGGAAACCATAAACAGTGAAAAGACAACCCACAAAGTGGGAGAAAATGTTTGCAAATGAAGTGACTGACAAGGGATTAATCTCCAAAATTTACAAAGAGCTCGTGCAGCTCAGTATCAGAAAAGCAACAACCACAAAATCCCAATCAGAAAAAGGACAGAAGATCTAAATAGACATTACTCCAAAGACATATGGCCAAAAAGCATATGAAAAGGTGTTCAACATCACTAATTATTAGAGAAATGCAAATCAAACCTACAATGAAGTATCACCTCACACCAGTCAGAAAGGCCACCATCAACAAGTATACAAACAATAAATGCTGGAGAGGGTGTGGAGACAAGGGAACCCTCCTACACTGTTGATGGACATGTGTGTTGGTGCAGCCACTATGGAGATCAGTATGGAGGCTCCTTAAAATACTAAAAATAGAGTCACCATGTGACCCAGCAGTCTCAGTCCTGGGTATATATCCAGACAAAACTATAAGTTGAAACATGCACCCCTATATTCATTGCAGTACTATTCACAATAGCCAAGACATGGAAGCAACCTAAGTGTCCATCAACAGAGGAATGGAGAAAGAAGGTGTGATATATATATACACACACATACATACACAGTGGAATATTACAGCCATAAGAAAGAATGAAATGATGCCATTTATAGCATCATGAATAGACCTAGAGATTATCATACTAAGTGAAGTAAGTCAGAGAAAAACAAATATCATGATATCACTTATATCTGGAGCCTGAAATATGGCACCAATGAACCTATCCTAAGAAACTGGCAGGCAGATGGGCCCCAGGGTGGCCAGTGGAAGCCATGAGGCTGGGGTGCCCTCTGCTCCTGGGCATCCTCCAACATTGGCTCCAGCCCTCCCTGGACCCCCTTCCCTGCAACTCTAGCAGGGCCTCTGCCTTGGCCCCCGGGCAGTATGTTGACCAACATCCAACAGCTTGATGAAGGTTTATACATGCAATGAGGACCAGCAGTGGGATAACCAGGGCGCCAGGTATGTCGTCCAGCTACAGGGAGCAGCTAAAGGAAATGCCCTGCTAGTCAGGGCCTGACAAAACATGGTCTGCTGGAGAAGGGAATGGCAAATCACATCAGTATTCTTGCCTTGAGAACCCCATGAACAGTATGAAAAGGAAAAAGGATATGACACTGAAAGATGAGGGGTCAGTAGGTGTCCAATATGCTACAGGGGAAAAGCTGATAAATGGCTCCAGAAAGAATGAAGAGGATAAGCCCAAGTGGGAAGGACACCCAGTTGTGGATGTGACTGGTGATGGAAGTAAAGTCTGATGCTGTAAAGAACAACATTGCATAGAAGCCTGGAATGTTAGGTCCATGAATCAAGGAATATTGGAAGCAGTCAAACAGGAGATGGCAAGAGTGAATATTGACGTTTTAGGAATCAGTGAACTAAAATGGACTGGAATGGGCGAATTTAATTCAGATGACCATTGTATCTACTACTGTGGGAAAGAATCCCTTAGAAGGAATGGAGTAGCCCCATAGTCAACAAGAGAGTCTGAAATGCAGTTCAGTCCAGTTCAGTCACTCAGTCATGTCCAACTCTTTGCGACCCTATGGACTGCAGCACACCAGGCCTCCCTGTCCACCACCAACTCTCAGAGTTTACTCAAACTCATGTCCATTGAGTCAGTGATGCCATCCAACCATCTCATTGTCTGTCGTCCCCTTCTCCCGCCTTCAATCTTTCCCAGTATCAGGGTCTTTTCCAGTGAGTCAGTTCTTTGAATCAGGTGGCCAAAGTATTAGAGTTTCAGCTTCAGCATAAAGCTTCAGTTGAATATTCAGGACTGATTTCCTTTAGGATGGACTGTTGGATCTCCTTGCTGTCCAATGGGTTCTCAAGAGTCTTCTCCAACACTACAGTTCAAAAGCATCAATTCTTTGGTGCTCAACTTTCTTTATAGTCCACAACTCTCACATCCATACATGACTAATGGAAAAACCATAGTTTTGACTAGGTGGACCTTTGTTGACAAAGTAATGTCTCTGCTTTTTAATATGCTGCCTAGGTTGGTCATAAC